CACACACACACACACACACACACACACACACACACACACACACACACACACACACACACACACACACACACACACACACACACACACACACACACACACATTCGGTCTCAGTAATGTGCCATTTTGTTTATTTCAGTGTGGGCACTTACATGCAAAAGACTAATGCAACGTTATTAAAAGGATTTTTAAACATAAATTCATGGTTATTAGTTATGATAAGTTCTCAGAACTTGAGCTATTTGAATATTTTGACCCTTTTTGATGTCATTTTCAAGGCCACTAGTTCACAAGTTTTGGGTTCACCACTGCCCAGAGGAAATAGATCAATAATAATAATAATATTGTAGTGCATTTTGCTTTCATTGCCTTTGCTGGGGCTCTGTATTTTGTGATATATGAGAAGATAACACCCCGGTCACGATCTGCAGTTTCTCATGAGACTGCCGATTGCATTTTCTGGGTTGCAGGACATAGAGATGGGAGGCATCTAGGTAAATCCACACTTAACTTTAAGATATGCACATATCCAAACCAACTCTTTCTGTTCCAGGAATGAGCCCAAGCCAGTGGAATGCAGCATGTGCCATAGGCGTTTTAAGAACATCCCAGCACTAAACGGCCACATGCGGCTCCATGGAGGATATTTTAAGAAAGTTAGCGTGAGTTTTGAAAAGAGAATTGTTTTGCCTTTGCACTTTGTTTCAAGAGAAATAATTGATTTTCATGTACAGTTTTAAAGATGATTATTGTGATGCACAGGAAGCGGCTTTAGGTTGGCAACCTGTATGCTAATTATCTACAACACTTATTGACATTTTTCTTTAACTAAAGGAAATAAAACTAGACATTAAAATCCTGCTGCAGTTTACTTTGAAGACAATAATAGTATTTGCACTGATACTTCACCAAAAACTGATGAATTCACAATGTATCTTTCGCCATTATTGTTGAGCATTCAGAATTATTTATGAATAGATAGATAAAATAAACTGGGTATGCTTGAAGAAAAATAGCAGTCCCTTTAACATTTATTTAAAAATAACGCCATCCAAATGTTGTACTGCAGATATTCAATACATCCTCCCATTATGTATGACAGGTTCTCCAATTTTAAGTCAGTATTATCAATTTATTCAAGTTGACTGTGCACATTATTAAAATGAGCTCTGTTGCTGTATGTTTAAGTAATAACCCAGGCTTATGCATTCTCTAACTTGTCCTTGAGACACAGTTCTTAAAACAAAAACCAATTAGATTGCTACCATCCCATTGTGATTTGGTAGCTGTTCTTAAAGATAACACGCTAGAAGTGCAGAGAGGTAAACCATAGCATGTGGGCAGGTAATGAAAATAAGTGCACAAAGTGGGAGTTAGTTTCATTTCCCTAAGCAGGATATGTACATTTTAGGTGCTAGATTTGAGCACGAACATAGTTCATCTGCTTTTGTGTACTAAAGTTTCTGGGCTCATTTGACATAAAACTTGTGATTAGAAGCTCTTTTCACAATTAAAAATTATGCTTGAATTGAAAACCACCCGATCTAAAGGTATACTACTCATGTTTGGAAATGTCTCAAAATTATTTATATTTTCTACGTACACATGGCCTGCAAAGCCACTGATCTCCCCCCTTTCCCCCCACCTTTATGACCTTGAAAATAATACCCCTCCCTGTCCAACATCCACCCAACAAAAACAATGAATAAATAAATAGTGAAGTACGTGCTGACCATAATTTACTTATAAAATGTACAAGAAGACATGACGGTCTAATTAACTGTTCAGTCATAAAAAACTAAATTATTTAATTAGAAACCATAGAAAACTTCCAATCCAAGTGCAGGCACAGGTCGAGCAATGATTCTTGAGCAGGAGAAAATTGTTCTTTAAGGTTATATATTTAAACAAGCTGTTTGTGTTCTTTAATGTAGTAGAAATTTCAAATAATTTGCAAAACTGAACTTTTTTTTACCTTTGCACATAGGACTTGGAGAAAGATGAATCAAAGAAAGATAAAGAAGAGGGTAATAGCGAGTCCCAGCCTCCGGAGCTGACCCCCCAGCCCCCGGCCAGTTCATCTGGTGCTGACAGCAATAGCAGCAACGCCAGTCTCACTGAGGCAAGAAACATGTCCCTAGCTCAACACTTACAGCAGCCAATACAACAACAGCAACAGCAACAACAACAACATCAGCCAATACAGCAGCAGCAACAACATCAACAGTTACAGCAACCGATGGGACCTCCCAAATTGGAACCTGCTATTTCTNCAGCAACAACAACAACATCAGCCAATACAGCAGCAGCAACAACATCAACAGTTACAGCAACCGATGGGACCTCCCAAATTGGAACCTGCTATTTCTGTCAAATTAGAATCAAGTTTAGCAGTCAGTTCAAATCAGGGACAGCCGACAAATTTTGTGTCGACGAGCCACATGACAGCTGGGCAGTTATCGGTGAAAAAAGTCAATGTTATGCCCCCTCCAAGCTCAGTTCATTTACCACTATCTGGGGGCTTCAGTATGTCTCAATCCCAAAGTTTAAACAGTGATGAAGGGTTATTGTCAAGTTTTGCTGGTGTAGCAGTTGGTAGAGAGTTAGGTATGGAACAAACAGGAGTTGGAGTAAAGCCGTCCAGTGCTAATACAAGGATTCCTTCAGCTTTTACTTTCACTGATGCTGACAGTGTTAAAACAAAGCAAAAGCTTTTACAGGCCTTACAAGAACCCTCATTTCGCCCTATTCAGCAGGAAAATTTGTTACGGCCAATGCAGGAAGTGAATGAGAGAAAAAGACACGCAAGTGCTGACCCAGACAAATTTACTTCCCCGACCAGGAAAAATTCCTTAACGTCTCCAGGCAGCTTAGCCTATATGTTAACAAATTTTCAAAAAACTGGCAGCACTGTAAAATGTGAACTTGAAAAGAGAAGATCTCAGGAATTTTTTGATCAGGACGAAATGTTTGTGCGTCCTGAGCCCGTGCGATCTCGGAGTCGCCCGGACGAGCACAGTATAGGGCGACCACGGAGTAGGACGGATGATCCATTCCATGCTAGAAAAGGGATTGAAGAGGGAATGGGGGTGTTCAGGAACCCAGGTGCCATGCACGGCAGTCAGATCAAGGCAAAAAGAAAACACAGGCCCGAGCCTCTTGTGATTCCGCAAAACATGAGCCATTTTGGCTTTCAGAGTAGGCTGCGGTCGCCTAGAATTTGGGAACCCAGTGGGGCGGAGAAAAAAACGGGGCATACTCCACCCCCGTACACCCCACCACCAATGCTTAGTCCTGTGAGGAGCGGGTCCGGATTGTTCTGGAGCATACAGCCACACCCACTTAGACCTGTTACACCAAAGTCTGCACCTGTAACGCCAAAGATCAGAAGAGGTAAAGATTTTATTTTGAACAGGTGTAATCCTGCTGTGAAGATATCCAATGGAAGTCTTGAAACAAATTCAAAAATTGTCATTTTTTTTTCATTGATTAATTTTTGCCTCAGTAGTGAATGTCCTGTTTTAATAAAATTTAGGAAAATGTAACTGTGCTTGTAAATAGTGAAATAATATTATTGCTGTGATAACTAACATGAAGCATGAAACGTGTTTCAGGGAGTTTTGGATTGAGTCACAGTGTCGGTGGCGTGACCAGCTGGTCCGGTCTCATTCAAACAAAAGAGCCCATTAAAGAGGAAGAAGATGAGGAAGAAGAAGAAGAGGAAGAAGAAGAGGGCACAGAGGTTGAAGAAGAAACACAAATTGAACCACCACCAGAAACTGACATACAACCGTAAGTATTAGCACAGTTATGCACAGGGTGTATAGATAATCAGAATAGTCAAAAATAAAAGGTAGAATGTAGATAGGTCAAAACCAATTGGGGAATATAACAAAGTGTTTGTTGTACTGCAGTAGGAATTAAATTAATTGTTTAAAAAAAATACTAAACTCATTGGTGGAGTTAAGGTCCCAAGACTTCTCCCCCACCTTCAAATGCGAATTACTTAAGTGACATTTAATTGTGATTAGATTTGTAGCTGGTGTCAGTAATACTACACTTAATTTTCTTACATTGCATAGTATGTGTAAATAATTGTTACATTTTCTTCAGACATGTAAATATAGGACCTCAGTATCAAGCTGATGTTCCTTCTTGCTTAGGTAAGTGGAGCAAAAAGTCAATTAAGGAAAATTAGAAATAACCATTAATGCGATTGAGTATAGTGAGAAAGCTGTCCCAGTATTGTATTCTTAATATGTCTAAGTGCTTATTCATTACAAGACCTAAATAAAATGTTTGTCATTTGTATCAAAGTATTATCAATTGGTGTATTGTAGAAAGCCGCAATAGAATTTATTTTGACGACCGAGTAAGGGAAGACCTGGTGTGGGACCCAGCAATTATAGATCATACTACTGAAGATGAAGGTAAGATATTGTGATGGCTAAAAGTTTGTGCTGAAGGACCTTTGCTACACCTCACCAGTGTATTTTTTTATGTTCTGCATTCTGAATACTTGCTATGCTTTTCTTCACTAAAGGCATGAGGATAACCTTTTTTTTTCAGTTTAGTGAAAAGATATTCATTTTGGCTATTTTTATCATTACTAGTATAAATTCTTTTGTATCTAATTAAGGATTGAATGTCTCTTTGAAGTAGCTTTAGAAAGTTGATGGCTTTTAAGGTTATGAAAATATAATATATTTGCAATTTTTAAGAAAGATAATTTATTTATTTATTTATTTATTTATTTATTTATTTATTTAATGGGAGCAAACTTCTCTTTGGAATAGCTAAAGAAAGTTGTAAGACTGATGTTTTGGGTGTGTTTGTACATTTTCAGTTCAGTCATATCAGGAGTTTGCAAGCTGTGCTGCAGTGCCTGGGAATGGAGTCAACATGGAATATGCCTTACACTTATTACACATTGTGAAGGGAGACGTACAGGTGGGTACTGAACCTCAATGTATTTATATTTATAACTGTCTAAAATATAATAAGAAGATGTAAGATTGGGCTGTCAGGAGTGCTCCTTAATGGATAAATTGAGAAAAGTTAAAGAGATGATGAACAATGCTGACCCTTATGTGGGGTATATCTAAATATGTGGTTTCTTGATGTGATATAGTAATAGTTGTTGGTGCAGGGAGCTGTTCAGGGTTGGGGTGCTACCATCTACCCTTTGTGTAAGATATGTAGTGGCGCCGACCCCGGAACCGGTAGTGGAGTCGGCCCATGTGTGTTTAAGTTGCACATTGGCACATTAGATATGTATAATAGTCTTCAGTAGAAGAAAGGATTAGGCGACTAGGACTTGTAATTCAGTGTCTCACCTTGTGTCACTGTGCCATCTTGAGGGTACAGTGTACACAGGCTTGCTGGAGAGACTGTTGAAGAAAGCTAATAAGATAAATTCGGCTTCATATCCAGTACTATTAGTTTCGTACCATGGATTTAATATTTATAAAAGAGTTCGTGTGATATGAGCTTTTATGTTTTACTGGTTTCTAAGATGAAACTGAATTTCAATTTTTAATTTCAGAAAGCAATTTTGGAACTTATGAAGGCAACACCAAAGCTACCTAATAGACATCCACTTGTGACCTTTTCATATCAAGGCATGTATTTTGTATATTGAATAAATATGGTACTTGAATTAATTTAACTACAACATCGGGTTTTAATGGTGCTTTTAGACATTTTCATTGTAAAAGATGTCATATTCCACGAAGATTATTGCCTTCATGCTTTTCACAAAGAATTTGTCACTTTCCCTGTGGATCTTTTTGATGAGTTCAGATCCAAATGTCTCATGGGGCTTATTGGGATGTTAGTGAATTATTATTAATTTTTTTAGGTCATATATATTAAGTTTACCTAAAAAGTGAACATTGCATTTATAAGAATGATAAAATGGCTGATCACCAAATTAATATGTGGTGCACTATTTATATTTATATACTTTATTTTTCAATTATGTAGAATCTGACACTTGGAGCTCAGAGGAAATAGAAGCATTCATAGAAGGAATGCTGAAATTTGACAAAGATTTTTTCAACGTTTCCAAAGAGGTAAGTAATGATCAGGTTTAAAAGAGCTAGAAAGTGAATACTGATAGGAAATAGTGTGAAATGATATGATGCCATGTAATATATTTATTGTAATATATTTATTAGTAGAACACTTTCAGAAGTAACTTATGATAGATTTTACTATTTTAAGTATATTACATACAGCATGTTAGAGCATTCAGGTTTAAAAGAGCTAGAAAGTGAATACTGATAGGAAATAGTGTGAAATGATATGATGCCATGTAATATATTTATTGTAATATATTTATTAGTAGAACACTTTCAGAAGTAACTTATGATAGATTTTACTATTTTAAGTATATTACATACAGCGTGTTAGAGCATTCACTAATAATTTACCTAGGTTTGCATAGTTCCATACCATTCTTGCAGGTGAAAACCAAAACTACCAAACAGTGCATACAGTTCTACTACCTGTGGAAGAAAGTTTGCCTAGACGAATACAAACGTATGCGGATATTGCGTAGAAAACGCACGGACGATGACATTTACAACTTGCGCTCAAGAGCTGCTCAGCAGGATGACTTGGAACATCAGCAGCAGACACAGGCAGACAGTGATGATTCTGACGACGATTCGTCTGCTACTGGAAATGTAGAGGAACCGAATGTATGTTATTTACTTCATTGTAAATTTTTTAATTGTTTTTGAATCCCAAAGTCAGTCATGGTTTTACATCAACACCTCTTTAATGATGTTCTTAAATTCTTTTTTAAATGCTTTCAATGTGGCACTGCCATTATGAAGCACATAAATTATGCTGTGTGGATCTTTTATTGATATCTAATTATTTCCAGGAAAAGGAACCAGATGCCTCCAATGGTGTCCAAATAGTTTACACTTGTGCCTACCCAAATTGTAATGCAGTAAGTATCTATTGATATGAAAAGAATAATTCAAGGAAAATTTAAAAAATACACAACTGTTTTTAAACGTTTTTTTATTTATTTATTTATTTATTTTTTTTTATAAATATGTTTAAATATCTGTTAATTTTTTATCTAGTCATTTCCATCAAAACAAGCACTTAGTGGCCATATAAGAATCCATGTGAACAGTAGTGAAGGGAATACAAGAAAGTCTGCAGAACCCAGTCCTCATCGAAGTCCTCACAGAAAGGAGGGGACAGGTCCCCCATCAAACAAATCAACAGTATCAGAGGGAGTAGAGGAGTTTCCATGCAAGATTTGTGGAAAGTAAGGAAATTGGCATTGGAGATAACTATTCACATTTTTCTTTGATATGAATCGGATATTGGCATGTATTTAGTATCTGTAGGTATATTTGGGACAAATGAG